ATGCACAATAATTATAAAATTAAACGAGACTTACCTGTAAGTTGAAGTTTGATTGTAATTCTATGAGTCATCAGTCAGGAACGAAGGAGTCACACAAAACGCCTGATATGCAAGGAAAATCCAAGCCACTATTACCTTCCACGTTTCCTGATCAGCAAGCATACAAGCACTGATCGGCAGCACGCATGCGCATCTCATGTGACTCCGTAGTGACTCAGACTGATGACGTAATAGAATCTGAGTTTGAGCAGCTCATTCATTTAAGTGTGATTATATATATTCATTTATAATATATATTTTATATATATTATAAATATTTGCACCTGGTAACTTAGACAAACATAATTCAGCTTTGCCGTCTGCATGTTTAAAACCAAACATCTAAGGAGCATTATACATTTTCATACAGAGTAACGTAGACGCTCTTACGAAGATTTTTTCTTCAAAGAATTCATACTAGTCCTAGAGAGGGTAGAAGAAGCTAGGTGCCGAAATAAATGATTATTGATAGAAAATGTTGTTTGTGACATTCTGTTCTTGTTCTGAGGTTACCTATGTTTATGTCAGTCTCTTCTCGCCAAAAAAGTCGGCAGTTCTCGCAGTTTCATGGCTCAAGTTGAACAATTTGTTACTCATTACGAGAAGATAAATGATTTACATCATCCTTTGAACTGTTTTTGCTGTTAAGAAATGAAACGGCTTTCAAATGTTCTCTCCAGTTTTACAATTGAGCATCGAAATGACTTTTTGTAAGTTCAAGTTCACTGTTGTCCATTTCCGAATTACTTTTGGCCTCATTTTCAAAGCGAGTCTTGGTTCTCATCCTTTCATATGAATAGAAGTGCTCATTCACGAGCAAATAAGACTCATTTTCATACGAATGGCTGAACAACAGGTCTCGCTTTGAAAAAGAGGCCAAGAGTGATTCGTAAATGGCTCATTAGAATTCACAGTTTTGGAAAGAGAGTTGAAAAAATTCAGCAAAGGCCTACAACTCACGACAACCCGTCCGGCCCGGCCTACACACGTCTGCTCTATTGTGGTTTTCTTTGGGATTACGTGAACGGGGCCGGACAGGTCATATGCTAATTCATTGAAAATCTCCCAGAAACTGTGGAACCCCCCTTTTTTATAAGTTGTTAAAGACGAAATTTTCAAGTGTGCGTGATTGTAAAAGACACCCTTCAAAGAACTTTCCTTATGAGCGGGTAGACGCTGGTGAAGAAACGACAATAGTTTTTCGTTCTAATTCTGATTGCTTGTCAGGTTGACCAGAGTCTTTTCAGTTGACCAATAGAGCAGAGAGGAACAAAACGAGCGAAATCTCGGGATTACCATAATAACTCAACCGGGTATGGCTCTATCACAAAGGCGTCCATATAATAACTATTTAACAAATAGATTCCTCGTTGTCTGCGTCTGTTCAGTAATAAATCCCGAATGACGTCAAAATGTGGTTCACCAGGCACAGCCGAATGTGTCACTGATACTGGGTGGTTCTACCATAGTTTTTTTTTTTATAAGGTTATGAAACTAGCTGTCGAACAAACCTTCAGGTCCGAGAGGTCCAGCGTCACGTTTCGCTT